CCAGCCAGTGTGCTGGCTGGGGGATTCCGGGAGTTGAAGTCCACACCTCTTAAAGTGGCTGAGGCTGAGAAACCCTGATCTAAGGACTAACCAGGTCTGACTCTAATGAGCCTCCAACCCCAGCCAAGATTTGCCACGTGCTACCGCTGGATAAAAATTTGGACAGAAAATAATCTAATCTGGTGGTAAGATGGGCCCTTTGGATGGAGATCCAACACCTGCAGGGAGATGCTGGAGCAAGTTAGAGCCAAAACATTCCTGAAAAGCCGGGACAAAGGCACCCAGGCAGCTCCTTACAACTAGCTTTCTCCTTGCAAGGAGTGCTCGCAAGCGATACACTTCCAAAAAAAAAAAACCCCAATTCATACTTTTAGCCTCAATTGGGAGGCATTCCCAGCCTCATTTGGCACCAGTACAGGAGCAGACTGAGTCTCTAAAGCCATGGATTAAACAACTCAGCTGTTTTCAAAATGATTTTGAAGGTGTTGTTCAGATACACGGGTTAAAAACCCCTTGAAATGAATGATCTTACTCTGCCCACCAGGTGGCAGTGTTGTCTGCTAAATCAAATGCTGGAGTATTAAGCAGCAGCTTCTAACAATACTGTACAGACCAGTGTTTCTCAACCTTAGCAACTTTAAGACATGTGGACATCATGCTGGCTGGGGGATTCTGGGAGTTGAAGTCCACATGTCTTAAAGTTGCTAAGGTTGAGAAACACTGGTACAGACGAATGGATTTCAAACCACGTTTTGGAAACTGTCCGCTTGAGTTCTCCCAAGGCTTCCATGTATATAGTCCTTTCAGGCAGTGTTTCTTAAACTTTTTTCTCCCAGGACCTCTTCCCACTTTTAAAAATTATGCAGGACCCCAAAGAGCTTGTGTTTGCATTTATCAATATTTGCCCTATTAAAAATTAAAACGCATGCATTTGCTGCTGCTACTCCTTCTCACAATTATTTGATGGGAGTTTAATATTATATTATTTTTCAACCTAGGCTGGCAAATAATTTTGATTTATAGAGATCTTAGTATGAAGGACAGCTGTCCTTTAGATTTATTTTTCAAAAACTCACTTTGGCCCTTTATTTTGGTCATTTATGGGAGTTATACAATCAAATTCAACAGAAGGGAATATAGTATTTGGGAAGGATGCATACAGAGTAGGGCTGCCAGATCTGGGTTGCAAAGCCACCAAGAAATGCTAGATGGCAACCAAGAGAAATCGAAACCCCTTGCAGCCATCTAGTGGCTGTCAGAAGCATTGCGACTTATATATGATAGCCCTAATAGGAGGAAGGGGGAGGAGGAAGTTTGGCTTCAGCCCTGAAATGGGACAAGTGAACTGTCAACAGAGAATTATAAATCTGCAAGTGCTCATAATAAAGATGTAATTCCATCTGTGTGTCAATAAAGGCCATAACTGGCCTCTCGGTGAGGCATAAGGGTTTATGCCTAGAGAAACACCTTCTGATACATTCCTGATCCTGAGAAGGCAACTGTCCAACTAATGGTTGCCCAAGCGCCCTTCTTGATTTGAGTGGATAACAACAGGTTCCTTGCTCTTAGGAACCAGGTTATTGACGGAGTTCTCCATTTCCAGAAGAGCTCACGGGGACAATTTCAGCTCTTTTCTTCCTAATTGTAGAATCACCTGAAATTTTGTACTGGCATTGTATTTATTTAGCCACAGATTATATGGCCCTCAAATCAGCCTGCTGGGAGAAAGACAGAGCATGGATATATTGCACTGAGCCTTCAGCTGCATTCACACAACTCTCTTAACCCGGGTGCCAGACCGACCTGTTTCCTGGATAAGCC